GGAGGTATTACAAGGAAGTTTGGTTTTATCAACTGAGTTGACGATGTAACCTGGCCTCTAAAGCTGTCGTTTCGAACGTTGGTCCATCGTCAGAGCGAATAGTGGAATTGTGGGCCTTGTATAGTTTATAGACAGAAAAATGGAGCTTCGCTATGGGAAGGAACATGGTAACGTGAAAAACACGAGAATAAATTAGTTGAATGAATAGGATTCGTTGATACCGTGATCAAGAGTGGCGCTATGAAAGATAAACCATTGCTCTAGAGTTTTATGGCTTTCCGTACTGTTTAGATGTGGAAAAAGACCGCAGACTGCCATATTTTTCTTAAAATGATTGGCGAATATGATTTTGGAAAGATCCAAGAAGATCCTGGTCTGATGTAGAGAGTACCAAAGAGGCTATCAGTGGCATTACTATGCGCTTTTTTTGCTCAACCTGCTTCCTTTGTTTCCCTCTCTTCCATTCAGTCAGTTTCAGAGAAACTATTCATTTTCTGAAATATGGTACTCAAGCACATTGGCAATAAAGTAAAAAATTAAAAGGCAAAAGAAAAATGTTATACCGGTTCATCCTCGTTTGTCCATTGTCCTGGACCGGTTTCATTGGCGTCGACAACAATCTATCACGCAAAAAAGAGAGCAATGAGATTTTGCTGTTATCACCTAATATTCGTGCATGATAGCATAGTACCAAGCAAAGAAATCCCTCCAGTTTTGACCTCTCGTAGTATTGAGAGCGTTAAGTTCAATATTCTCTTGTACCTTGGTCTTTTTGGGGTTAACGCAGGTAGCGTTCTTCTCGAAATCGCAGTAAACTTTGACAGCGTCACTACTGCAGCCTTCGTTGGGATCGATCGTGTACTCACCTACAGAACAAAACAAAGTTAGTCTGATATTACCATTTTGTGGCATGTAGAAAGTAGTTACCAGATGGAAGAAACGCACAAATGAAACAGCGAACGAAGAACGATTTAATATCAAGCAGTGCGAGCTGAAAATAAAATAAGCTACAGCAAACTGTAAGAAGAGAATGAAATGGTAAACTTCGGATAGAAAGATACGGATTAAAACACTGGCCATGTGTTTGTTCTTTGATATAACACTTTACTCTCACAGTGCATCTCTCCACCCAGGAGTATAAAACCGAATGAGAAACCTTGTGAAATGAAAGAGAGAGGGTGTGGGGAGGGTAACCCTGCGATTGACAGACATCCATCCCTGAGTGTTTTGGCTGACTTTACTTTGACCTATAATACGACAAAGGCCATGATACCGAGATTACAAGTGTATCTTAACCTCCTGGTAAAGAAAATTCATCACCGCCCTTATCGCAGACAATTCAGTGTTATAAGTCAACCATCATCAACAGATCGCCACCCTTATTTATGTGCACTGATCTTTCGGTAACAATCTACCACGCATGCTCAAGAGAGCCACTCTATGACGTCACGCAGAAATATTATGATTGCCCGCGCGACATAAATACATAAGAAGCTTGTCAATAAACGTTTCAACAACAAACCGCTCTTAGATTCAGGATGATCTAGTTTGATTTCTCGGCATGATCGGGCAGGATGTTCCAGGTCCCCATTCTGTACTCGGAAAGTTTGAATTTTTCTGTCCAGAAGCGATATCATGAATTCGATATCCACTGTCTAGGGGGAAAAAAAGACGACTATAGTTGAGCAAAAATTGTCTAAGACCTACAAAATCTTGTCGACAAGTCCCCATGACCTGTTGCGCTGCAATATCGCGGCGACAATTAGCTTGGTGTATCAAGAGAGCTTCTTCTTTTAAAACGAAAAAGAATTTCGAATTCCATTTACATTCTCGGTTTAAGTTAGGTCAGATTTTACAAACCAAATGGGAGGAACCCGGGCTCCAACGTAGCACACAAATCAGCGATAAAAATCGTCTCGTGTACTATTACCGTTGCCGATCACGGCCGCAAAAAAATTGTGTAAAGTTGTTCCGTAAAACATGGATAACAAACCGACGTTAAAAATCGTCTCGTTTTACTTCTCCTTAAAAGCATACTATGGCTGCGCAGCTCAAGTGGGATACCGTCAGAACGAAGTATCACTTATACCTTGAAGAGTTGGGCTCCAACGTCATTATTTGAATCCTGTGATTTTCCAGATCCCTAAACGTAGTAAATGATAACATGAATATCGGATATATAAAAGCGCCGATCAAAGGTGTAAATTTTTTTTTGGCTGGACCAAGCTTTGTGGTCAAACAAATTGCACAAATATTTTTAAAACAGTACGGTTCTTACTTGGCTGGAGTACAATCTGTATGGGGGAGGTCCTTTTTCACCAGTGTTCATTTCAGCAAGCTGCAAGTGACAGATAAAGTAAAAATTAACTGAGTACAAGATGATATCTGTTGTAAAGTTACAGTGCTGTTCAGCGTTGAATTCTTAAGATCCTCTTCCCTCCAGTTATTATATATTTCCTTGTAGTTTGGCTAGCAGAATTTTAAATTTGATAGCAACCACTAAGAGGTTTGTGTTTCCTTGCATATGTTCATGCCGTTTTCATGCGTTTTCTCGACGAAGAGCATGAGTCTGTGGCTTACAAAACACAGCCCAAACTAATATTCTTGAAATGCTTTTCAAGGAGGGCACTTGATTCAGAGATGTCACTTCTCAACGTAAAAGTTTAATTTTGAGACTCGTCACAATGGACAATTTTTGGGCAACTCACAACAATGGGCAAGACTTTTTCCTACGTAATCCTACAATGGAACCTAAATAGCTTTACACATCACGGTTTAACTTAGCTATTCATCTTAGCAGTAGTATATAAAAAACATTGCGATGGACATTTGAATAAACTGAGACTCGAAGTCCCCAATAAAAACAACCTACCGCTTCCGCCAAACTCTGTCCTGGTGGTCCCTGATAAAAAGTAAATAAGATAAAAGTTATACAACCGTTCCAGGGTGTGCATAGATTTAACCCGATTGCAGTTTTAGCAAAAAACCGCTTCGTGACGATGTCTCACGGATATAATACGAACGAATTAACCTTTGCAAAAATTGAATTGTCTCCGATCTTCGGAAAGACCATTCGCAACCCGATTTCAAATCAAAAGTAAGCTTGTCGGTTCAAACAACTTTGCGTCTCGAATACAAAATTAACATTTTAACAATTTATATTCAGTTTTTCAGATATCACGGTGAATCGTTTCAGCCAGTCAAGATTTCATTTTAGTGTTTGTAGGGAAGTAAACTGCCCAGTGGAAGGTAGAAACAGTAAAAAAAAATTAGGTATCCTTTTCTTTTCTGTACACTGCCCCTCCCCTCCGCCCCTCCCCCACACATACACACACAAACACAGTGTTGACAATTAAAAAAAGACATACCATTGGCCCTCTGGGACCGGCTATACCTGGAGGTCCCTGGAAACAACGCACACAATTGTATTGTTATGAAAATAATATTGTTAAGTTGTTTTCTCAAAAGTTCCCAAGTTCTCTACAAGCTAGCTAGTTACAGTGTAGGAGAAAATAGATAAATGTCGGAGTGATATTTGAGAAGTTTTCAAATGTTTCCATCGATGAGGAACACTTCCACTAGACTTCTTTTTCAATTCCACACTGACGCCAGTCATTCGTGGAAGACTTTACTTTAAAGTGAAGCCATAAGTGATATTTTTGGATAAACTAAACTAAATTTTTGGCAATTAACCTATAAAACAAAAACCAGTGTGTTAGAATCTCATGTATCTACTTCCTTTAATGAATTGAGATGAACCGATCACTTGCTAGGTAATTACGAAGACAGTAATCATTCAACCCTTTAACTCCCATGAGTGACCAAGACAGAATTTCTCCTTACAATATCTCTACAATATCAACCAGATAAGAGACAAGAATAAAGAAAAAGATCAATTCGGGGATAATTAGTTGATCCAATACTAAATTCTCTGAAGTAAGGGGAATTACAAATTTTATCTGGGACTTAAAGGGTTAAACATAATTTTACTTTCAAAACTTACAGGTAGACCGTCTCTGCCCTAAAAATAACAGAGAGGGAGAAAAAGAAAATAACGGATAAGAGACAATTAAGACGTAAAACTATAAAAAACATTTGAAGAACTGCCCACAGATAGCTAAATAAGGCTACTTAAGGAAGGAAATTTAAAATTTATCTATAGCACCATATCCATAGCACCATTTTAACACATTATTCCCCATAAAAATAATCTAAACAGGGTTTAGAATTGTTTTCATCAACACAGTTACCTACACTGAAGTTTGGCGACTTAAAATTCCCCAAATTAAAATTAAAGCAAGTGAATGTTTGAACCGTCTATAAAATTCATTTTTCAGTATTCTGTGGCTAAATTTCATTCAGGTCAACGGGGTCTCACTTCACGTGCCTGGTTGGTGTGACTGCGGCAATTGTCTTCAACCGCGCCTAACCTAGTTTGCAATAAGCTCCTGATTGGTTAAGAAGACATCACGAATTTCTGCACCAATGACAGAGCGAATAAAGAAAACTTGTGGAAAGTTGAAGCTTAATTGTTTCTAAGATAGTATACAACTCAGTTCTCTAAATTTATTCATCGAAGTCAGATAATTGGATGACAATATACCGGTTCTCCACGTTCACCCTGAAAATAAACAAAAACACATATGGGTTAAGTTTATCACGCATAATTTTTTTTTTACTCTCAGCAAAAAATCAAAAGTAAAAATAAAGAATTGACAAGGGAACTTGTTGAAAAGTAAAGATTTATTCTACGATAATTGCCTTAGTTTCATGGCTTGAGGGATTATCACAGCAAACACATTTCGTTTCAATCATATGTTCCTTTTTCAGGAACAAAAAACTAAAATAATAACAAAAAACGGGACGGTAGTTAAAATTAAAATATGAACGCATATGGCCAAATATGCACATTCAAACCTGTGTGCCGGGATCTCCCTGAGCTCCGCCACTTCCCTAAAATGAAGACAATTCATCCTGATAATTAGAGTCGAAACGTTGTGAGCGAGAGGTAAAATGTGCGGAAAGCAGGAAAAAATCAACAGTAAACGACGGTGTTACAGTTTTCGTCAGGAGTTCGCAGATAAATGTTCACTTGATCACAGATTGTGATGATAATTAATTAAGAAGTTTTGATCAGTTCGTTAAAAAAAACTGTCAGGATTTCAACAACAGCACTAAACTAACTGTGGACGAATCGACAACGATTTGTGTGATACTTATAACCCTTCCGATTGTGCTTGTGTTTCGTGTAAAGAGTTTTGTTCACTATCAGTTACTTCAGCCGGTAAACTTTTTCAGTATCATCTGGTCCATACTTAATAGTATCTCCACGTAAATGCGATACAGTACAGACACGAAAGGTGTCAAATAACTAGCATTTAAATACCTCTGGTCCTTGAACTCCTGGTTGACCGGGAGGGCCTGCGGCTCCCATGCCACCCTAGCGAGAGGTAGATAGAAACGCAATGCGTACACATTCGGATGCGAAAGATAAATAAATAGGTACAATAAATACTAAATACTCAAAGAAAGAATTGAGTCGAGCGGTCAATTAGTGAAACTCTTTTGGTAAAAGTCAAAGTGATGAGCATCTGTTTTCGTGAAAGCTGAAAGAGCTAATGTGTTAGGGAGAAGCAATCATGTTGAGCACAAAGACACGCTTAGAGAGCGACGACCGACAGACAGACAGACAGACAGAAAATAGAAAGACATGGACTGATATATAAATATATTGGCAGAAGTTCGACGGACAAAAACAGACATGTAGACGGATGGACAGACAGACAGACCAACAGACAGACAGACAAACAGACAGACCGACAGACAAACGGGCGGACAAACAGACAGACAAAGTGACAAACAGAAAGATAAACACATAGAAAGACAGACAAACAGATAGACAAACAGACAGACAGACAAACTATAGGTTACTGGTTTCTATAGACAGAATTCAGATGTGTCAACTCGGGAGTTAATAAAGCAATTTTCGATTGAGTGTCAAAAGTTGTAAAAATTGTTTTGGTTTCTACTTTACTTCATGCGGTGATTGGTTAAGAAAAATTGCAACATCCTCTCGACCAATCAGATTCAAAACTACAACCAATCCTGACTTGGTCACCCGCATTTTCCCGCGCTTTCAAAGTCTGCTTGTTTTTATTTCGAGTTCTCATTGGCTCCTTGTGATATCTTCTTTGGCTCTCATTGGCTGGTTTTACCTTAACGACACTCAATCAAAAATTTGCTTTACAGGTAAATAAACCGACGTACACTGTAACGAGTTTTTACAAGCTTACGCGTGAAACATGAGCTCTGAAAGAATGAAAAACCGACCCTCGGCCTGTTAACAGACTTATTCCTTTAAAAATAGGAATTCGGAATACCTTTGGTCCTTCAGGTCCCGTACTTCCGTTTCTTCCTTCAGGGCCATCCTCTCCCTAAAATGCATATTTAATTGCTTTAGTATTATCAGCGGGTTTATACTTGACGCGTGGTTAAGGGCAAACACCAACGCATTCTAAAAAACCACTGTATCTCTATCGCTTAATTCGCTGATCAAATACATGAGTGAGGCAAGGTAAAAAGTCAAACAGCTAACAGTTGTGGTACAGTTTTGAAACCGCGAGAGGAGTGGGAAAGAGGGTTTTCTTGATCTTGTAACCTCCACTATTTATAACTAATTGGTAACCTCCACTATTTATAACTAATTGCAATAACGTTGTCATATAAACAATAAAATGCAAATAGTATTCATGAAAACCAAAAAACGATAAAAAGGAATTACTTAAATCACAAATGGATAATTTAAAACATTAATCATTTTACTTACGTCAATTCCAGGGGGACCTGTCCTGCCAACTTCACCGGTATATCCTGGGTCACCCTGACAAAATGATAAGAAAAGAATTTTGAGTAAAAGTTCAGTACAAGTTTTACCAAAAGTGCTCCTACTACTTGACCAGTGGAAACGTTTCAGGGCCACCTTAATTTTTCGATATATCATGTTTGCTCTGAGCTTTGCCAAAAGATGAACGTTGATACGATGATGAAAAAAATCTGGGTCAACCATCTTGTTTCCGAGTTACAGAACTATTTGAACTAGGAGTGTTCCCTTTTAATAGGTTATAGTAAACAATTGCCTTTGAAAACATTAAAAACAAAACAAAACAAAACAAAACAAAAACCGCAACTTGTTTAGAAATAACTGAGCATTTCTTTTGTGCCGAATTTAAGGATAGAAGGGAACCCGTGTTTTAGGAAATGTTTTTGTCCATCTTGGTTCTGTAGATATATAAACCTTTAATGATCAGTCTCACGATGCGGAGTCAGGCTCATCAATCGTGTGTTGATCGTGACGTTTCGACTGCTATAGTGCCAGTCTTGGTCAGGCGAGGTCAAAAGTTGTGTTTAGGCATCGACTCGTCGTACAATTTGCGTTAAAAGAAAAAATAATCACAACAAATTTAAATCTCTATCCTGAACTAATACCGAAAAAAAAACCATTAACGCTTCTTACCTGTGTTCCAATTAGACCGTTTTCTCCCGTGTCACCTCTGTAACCGCGTGGTCCCTTTTGCCATCAGAATACA